TTATATAAATAGAAAGTTGTGCCATCTCCTGAATAATCACTCTTTATGTAAATAGCAAGATTTGCCATCTCCTGAATAACCATTCTTTATATAAATAGAAAGTTTTGCACTCTCCTGAATAATCACTCTTTATTATTAGAGAGTTTTGCCACCTCCTAAATAATTACCCTTTATGTAAATATAAAGTTTTGCCACCTCCCGAATAATAACTCTTAATAAGATACGAGTTTGAGAAAGTAAGGCATCGATTTGTTATTGATATATTTGTTATTCACAGGAATACATCGACAAACTACAAAAGTCTGAACACTGGAAGGACATATCCTACTTCGAACTCAACCTGGAGACCTGGAGGCAGCTGTGGAGAGTGCTCGAGATGTGTGACATACTACTGTTGATAGTGGATGTCCGATATGCTGTAAGTTTTTTATGTTGCTTGTACAGCCGACATAAGAAGTACGTGATCGTCTACAGTCTTAACACAAAAAGAACAATGGCGAACTCCCATATAAATTTTTGTTGACATAATTTATATGCTATAAGAATATTAGTCCACAAGAACTGGAGAGGATGTGGGTTATATTTTTCTGTATCTAATGGAGCAATAAACATTTTTGACGTAACTTCACTTATGCCGTTGTTCCATTAGGGGTGCGTATTGATGAGATTTTTTTTCAAAACATTTTTTTAGTGTGCAGTATTAAATTATTCCAGGGGATGATGTTTCCTCCCTCGCTCTACAAGTACATAGTGACAGAGCAAAAGAAGGACATGATAATCGTCCTAAATAAAATTGACTTGGTCCCAGCTTCTGTAGTGGCGGCTTGGAAGGAATATTTCACGTTAAACTGGCCGGGCATACGAGTGGTGTACTTTACTTCTTGCCCTGGATATAATTTGGCTGGCAACACCAGCGACAAAGCAGGTCAGTGTATTATTACGGTTAAGTAGTTATAAACGCACACACTCAACATAGCCACACGCAACATAGTTATGTAATAACTTTGCACTTTATTCTCAGATTTTTACAGATATTAAAATAAAAATGTATTCGAAATTCGAGGTTTTATTGTAATACTAGCTGGTTATATTTATTTATTTATTTGCAAACAATGTAGGGGCTTAGTCGATGAATGGCCAATTCGCAAAATGGCTACCAGTCTAGGAAAGCCCAATTCGCAAAATGACTATTTCGATATAGGCCCAATTCGCAAAATGGCCAATTCGATATAGGCCTAATTCGCAAAATGGCTAATTCGACAAAGGCCTACTTCCTAAAAGGCCCAATTATAAAAACGGCCAATTCTTAAAATGGCTAATCTGCAAAATTTATTTTGCCCTTGCGTGAGGGATATTTGAAAATCGTAGTAATTATTTTCAATGGGATTTTATTCTAAAAGTCGCGCGTTAAAAAGTTTTTAATACATTTTCATATAATCTTATCCATGTTTGTGACTTTTGAGTTTCTTTTGTATTATTTTATTTGTGACAAGTTTCATAATGGAAGAAAACACATTTATTTTCGACAAAAATCAAAAAGGTAATGAAACGTTATTACTAAATGGATACAGGTATAATAAAAGAAACAGGACAAATAAAAATCAAAGTACGTTTTGGAGATGTGCTAATAAAAATGAGTGTAGTGGATCTATAACTATAGATTCTACCAGAACAAGGATACTAAGAGCACCCCGACACGTCTGTGAACCTGACCCAGACAAAAACCAAATTTTTATCAAAATGAGTGAACTCAAAAACAAAGTATGCCAAAATATGGGGCCAATAAAGGGAATTTTCGATAAAGAACTGGATAATATGTCAGGAACTATAGTTACTAAGCTTCCATATTTTCACACTAAAAAAGATTCTCTTTATAACGCCAGGAAAAAATTTTTACATGCACGTAGATTAACATTCCAGAATTTAGAAGATGTGTATGTCCCAGAAGGATTGGCAGAAAATTTTCTTGTAGCCGAAGATGGGAGCACAGATAAAATAATAGTTTTTGCTTCGAAATTATCGAAAAAGATTATACATCGTGCCTCAAAAATGTGCTTATACGGTGATGGTACATTCAAATGTGTTTCTCGTCCTTTTTACCAATTATACACCATCCATATTGACATAGGTTCCGACGAAAATACCACAAATATTGTTCCAATTATATATTCTCTTCTTCCGGACAAGACTCAACTCACGTATACGCGACTTTTTAAATTATTCAAAGATCGGCTTGGACTAAATATAAAAAAATTTAAATGTGATTATGAGGTGGCGGTAATGAATGCCGTTAGCGAAATTTACCCGGACGCAAAGATAACCGGTTGTTACTTTCATTACCAGCAGGCTATTTGGAAAAAAGCAAAGGAAATGGGTTTAACTAATTGTAAGGAAAATAGAAGAGTCATTCGGATAGCCGCCGTCATGCCTCTTTTGCCCCCACGTTTTATACCGGAAGGATGGCAAATCATTTATGGGAAGATAGAAAGTCTGTCTTATGCAATGAAAGATTTCCAAAAATATTTAGAGAGACAATGGCACCGCCTGACCCCAACTTTATTAAGTTGTGCTGGTCAACGCCACCGGACCACCAATGCTATTGAAGGTTGGCATCGCCGCCTAAATGTCATCATTCCGAAACGTCCCAGCTTATTTCACTTCATCCACAAAATACGAGGGGAATCAAAGCATTTTGACGTAAAAATTAAGAAAACATTATTTGAAAAGCAAAGAAAAAATCGGGCAAATAGAGACATTATGTTTGATAAAAAATACAAACATATTGTAACAAAACTAAAAAGGCACGAGATAACGGTGCAGGACTTTTTCAAGAAAATTATTTATTTACAGTTTTTAATGTAGTGTGTATCCTTTTTCTCTGATTATTTTTACTTATTTTATTTATTTTATTTTAATTATTTCATTTATTTTATTTTCTTTATTTTGTTTTATTTGTTTTTTTTTCAATAATATAATAGTGCGCACTTGACCTCCATCTCAACTGATGGAAAGTGACGATGAGGTCGACGATAGAGCAAGCACACTTAAATAATGTCTAATCACTCTCGCCTTGAAAAGGCCCAAATTATAACGCTCAGGAAATAAGTCAGAAGGCATGGAAATCTACACCATAGCAGTTCGCCATATAAATGTGGAAACATAACGAATCTTTGGAATGTATATTCCAAAACACGTTTAATTTGTGTATTTTCTTTATTTTGTGTTTTTTTTAATTTCATTTATAAACGTAGAATTTGTACAGTATTTTTTTATTCGATAACATGCGGAAATCGGAAACCATAGAAGATACAAGGATTCTGTTTTAGGACCCATTGAGTTTCTTTATGTGAAAACGATTTTGGCAAAGTCAATTTTTTGGTTAAGCGTAAGTTGCCCTAAAAAATTAATAAAATTGAATATAATTGTCTTTTAGTGCTTATCGACTCAGTTTCATAAAGGGATCGTTTTAATGTTTGGGACGAAAAAAATCGGGACAGCAGAAGTTGGTAATATTAACTTAATAACATTATATTCAATGTGACCAACTTCTGCTGTCAAGATTCTTTTTTTCAATACAATAAAATCATTGTTATAAGAAACTGAGTTTATCAATTTTATTCATTTTGCATAAAAAATCCATTGACTTTTGCTTGTTCTAATGATATTTTTTTTAATTGTTATTGTAAAGATGATGAAAATGTAAACAACTATTCTATTTATAAAGACCAACTCTCAGAGTTTCTTGCTCATTCTTCAGTAGTAGAGCGTACCTAATCAATGATGATTTTGTTCAGTATTCGTTTAGTGGTAAAATTTTTGTTTTTTTTGGTGTCAAGGTGCGAAAATAAATATCCTGAAATTCATTTATGCAGTAATTATTTCAACCTCTAGGCTATACGCGCATTTTCACAATTGGCCATTTCAAGAATTGGCCATTTTAAGAATTGGCCTTATCAAGAATCGGCCATTCCAAGAATCAGCCATTTCGAGAATTGGCCGTTTGTAGAATTAGTCCATTGGAGAGTTAGCCATATTCAGAACTAGTCATTCCGCGAAATAGCCCTCATTTTAGCTAGTAGCCATTTTGCGAATTGGCCATTCATCGACTAAGCCGTATGTATGTACTTATCACCTATATGTAGGTACAAAAATTACATAGGTGATAAGTACATACATACCCCTTTGGGGTGCTGCAATTAATTATTATTAAACGTAATATTAAAATTGTAAAAATAAAAATAATAGCAAAAAAATAATAATAATAACATTTAGGAACTAATACATATAGGATCTTAAAATTATCATTAATAAACTTTAGATCATAGTATTACATAGACTTAAAATTACTTATCTGAAACTGGACTCTTTTAGCTTATAGGAGAGTTCTTGAAGTCTCCCACATTGTAATAACATTTACTTAACAAGAGAGACCTCAACTTGGTTTTAAACACGTTGTCACTATCTACTTTCTTGAGGATGTCTGGTATTTTGTTATAAATTAGTATGCATCTATATAGCGGGCTATCTCTGAACATTTCCAATCTTGGAGTTGGTAATATGAGCTTTGCGTTTCGACGTGTGCTTTCCTATAGCTGACTATACTAATTATCATAGTTTTATTGGTTCTCTATACAAACCTTCACCCCATATTTCACCTCCTTAAGATTTATTTTTGTGACTAAGAATAGTCTATGTCCTATCCACGGAGGAAAAAAAACAATGCGAATGCTAAAACTCACACATTCTTCATTTGAGACACTACAAAATCTTGATATTGACTGGTCGTAGTTTCAAATTTAAAAAGAAATAACAAATTCTGGATTGTTAATATAATTTAAACTTTAACCTGTTGGCATATCGTTAAAAGTTCAATACCATCAATACCTATTAATGCAAGTTGGACGTTTTGATATTATATAGAAATTTCAATTGACGTGCTGCCATCTTGCGGTTAATTGCTGAACGACGACGAATTGGAGTTATTAATTTAGTTCTCGAAAAAAGAAGCGACTATATTGCAGGGGTATAAGCTTTACTTTCGTTTCTTGTAACAAACAAATTATTGCGATAAACAGAAAATTGAAAATGTATTAACTGTCATATTACACTCCAAAACAGCACATTAAGGCATTACTCTAGGATTTTATAGAATTTGCAAGAAAGAATGACACAACCATACCATACAAAGCGAAAACGGCGGACTGAGTTCAGATAGGTCTTTCCAGACCTATAGTTGGCACGCGTCAGACGCTAACTAACCACTTCTACTGTATTTTGTTCTGTGGCCCAATCTATCTCGATACTCAAATATATCAAAATCGGTTCAGCTGTTTAAGCGTGGAAATGGACTTTTTCAAATTCATAATATTACTTTGGATTGATTTTATTGATAAATAACGTGGTTTTTCTATCGTGACATTAAATTGTTTTTGGGCAATTACTTCGCTGCTTTCTTATAATGATTAATATAAAGATAGAACACAAAGAAAAAATCCTTCTTTATATTATATTAGTCTATTTATGCGCTATTTGTTTTTCTAAAGTATTACGGTTGGACTTGGATAAAAGATACAAAAGCGATCGATGGTCCAGCGCCTCTCGGCGGCAGTCTTTATGCATCTCGCGAATAAACACCGCGAATGACCGCACGTCTTTTTTTGTAACATTTTTGTAATATTAAACAGTCATTATTAAATTTTTACGGAGTTGTATTATTTACTTATTTAAATAACCAGATATTTTCTCCAGGTCTCCAGGTGCGCCGGCGCAAGGGTCGCCAACGCATGTGCGCGGAGGGAGCCACGAAGATCCTAGAAGCCTGCAAAGATATCGTTCAAGGGCATGTGGATCTACATTCGTGGGAGAAGAAAATTAAAGAAGAAACAGAAGTGGAGTTTGATTATGACGAACAGACGGAAATCGGTAGGTTGTGTATATTAGACATTATTTATTTTAACTCCACACAAATTTCCACTTGGCAGGTTTTGTACATCGTGTATATAACCAGAAATAGAGACAAATATTGATAGAGCGATCATCTAATAGATCATCTAACCGACATCTAGAATTTTATAACACTCTATGCATTGACTTACAATTATATGGACATCGGGTCCGCGCTAAAAAGTGTCCGAACTTATAGGGCGTTAAAATCGTATACAGAGCGTCATTCACGCTTTAGTCTTCGTTTGTTCGACTGACAGCGAAACAAGCAAAATTAGGCAGTACTGCGATAACATTACAATTTAAATTCAACGTTTTAGCTTTTTCATATTCCTTTACACGTCACTACGTTTAAATAGGTTGACTTGGGACATGTTTTTCGTGATTTTTGTATTAGACCCGTCGTCCATTTATTTGTAAGTCAATGACTCTATGTGAGTAATGAGCTTTGCCGAATAAAACTGAGAAATGCTAAAGTCACGTGTTATACTTATTTCAGTGAATTCAGGACTTTAAAACGGTCCCCTGTAAACTTGGCAATTTCGACATACGATACTTTACGTAGGAGGGGTCTCTAGGGAGGGGAGGGGTGTTTGGTTATTGTTGATTTTCTTATTTGTTATGTAGTTTTTTCAGTAACTTTATAATAATCGAATGATTGTGTTTATTATTGTCTCTAAATCGGTTCTGTCTTCGTTACAAATTATCTCGATGAGATATTTAAATCGATTTATTTTTCATACGATTTTATCTCATCCAGCGCCCACAGTAGGAACTGTTGGGCCACAGAGGTCATCTCCACCACTTTGTATCAATATTATAGAATTTGTGTTTTTCACATAGGTGAAACAATCCTCGAAAAATCCGACACGACATTCTACAAGCACGAGAAATACAAAAACGGTATAGTCACCATCGGTTGCGTGGGACAGCCGAACGTGGGAAAATCGTCGCTATTGAACGCAATGATGGGACGCAAAGTTGTTTCTGTATCTAGAACGCCGGGGCATACTAAGCATTTTCAAACTATATTTCTGACGCCTCAGGTGAGTACTATTAACAGTATTAATAATGCGAAAATGATGTTAATAATGCAACAATGACATTAATACGACGTTATCGTTAATAATGCAACATTGATATTCATATTGCGATATTGATTTTAAAAATGCGACAATGGTATTCATGATACGACGGTTATATTAATAATGCGACATTGATATTCCCCACTGACCTTCTGTATAAGTCATGTGAAGTATTAACTGTAAGGCAATTATTTATTAAGTCCACAGTCCTCAAACAGCACGTATTGCTTCCATATATTACTGAAAACACTAATAAAAGACGAAAAGATATTGTCTGCCCCAAAATTATATCATCAAAACATACTTTTATTTCAAGATTTTTTGTGTTTCTTGGACCATTTTTGTACAATAAATTAAACGCCAAATATTCCATTTATAATTTCTGTTGCTTCAAGGTACTTAAAAAAAAATTCTCCAAGAAGCTCTTCAAAATATGTCCTATGAGGATACAGAGAATTTATTTATTATCGTAAAATAAATGTTGTCTTGTTTACATTTAAGTGTACATTTTTTTTGATTGGCAATTTATTGTTTAATTGTTTAATTTTATTTCATAAGATTCTCCTAAAAAGTATTTATAATATTAATAGTATCTACGTTTATAATTAGTTAGTTCACTTTTTACCTGAAATACAGGAATTTCCTAGTTCAGGTACATGTGTTATTTTTACATTATATCGCATAAGTAGTCTTTAGTTTTCTCTGTACATTATGTTACTGAATAAACAATTTTATTATTTTATTATTATTATTATTATATTAAGAATGCGACATTGGCATTAATAATGCGATAATGGTATTTCTATCACAGGTTCGCCTCTGCGACTGCCCAGGTCTGGTCTTCCCGTCTAAAGTTCCTCGTTCCATACAGATTCTCATGGGATCTTATCCTATAGCGCAGTTGAGGGAACCATATACTACTATTAGGTAAGTTTATTTATTGCAAACAATGTTAGTACAGGCATTACACAGGTTTACAGGTATTAACTATTAACTGCCTTCGTGTCCGACAAGATGGCTGGACCAAACCAGATATATAAATCAAACTGTCCTCATTATTTACTACCTTTTGTTCTACTATTTATTATGTCTTTTTAACCGACTTCAAAAAAAAGGAGGAGGTTCTTTTTACGCGATAACTCCGGTATTTGTGAA